TCCCTTCCCTTTCTTTTCTTTTCCTTTCCTTCCCTTTTTTTTCTTTTTTTCAGTCTTTTTATATAAGATGGGGGGCAAACCACTTTCTTTCCCCTTATCTTATCTTCTCTTTCTTTTTCTTTCCCTTCCCTTTCTTTTCTTTTCCTTTCCTTCCCTTTTTTTTTCTTTTTTTCAGTCTTTTATATAAGATGTGCATCGTACACCTCTAGCACGCCTCATGAAAAAGGCGCATGAGTGCCTCTCACGCCTTTTAAAACACTGATAACGGTATATAGCTTGAAATGACCAATTAGATAAACAGGTAGTGAATAACGGTTTGAGAAGAATTTAAAGGAAAATGGAAAGCCAAGAAAAAAAAAATTGCTAATTGGATGAAGAATTTCGAAGTTCAGGACGGAATGAGCATGCTATAAAGATCAGTCAAAAACTAAAGATGGGTTAATTGTTCAGCTAATGGATTAGCAGATACCTTGGCCAAACAAGGGGCTGAGGAGCTGGGGACAATCTATCCATTTAATTGGAAGCAAGGATTGTTGTAACCATTATTATTGTTCAGCTATTTTGATAAAATTTCTGTTACTGATCCAAACAAAACTTTAGACAACTTAGAAAATATAAAATCACCAAAGGTCTATTTAGTTCATCGTCAGAATCAGAACCGGAATCAAAATCATTTGGAATCAGAATCGGAGTGGTCTATTTCCAGTCTGTTTAGTTCAGACAAGAATCAGAATGGAATTTCATTCCCAAGGGAGGGGAGGGAATGGCCATTCCCTCAAATGGGGGAATGCCATTCCACCAGGAATGGGAATGGGAATGGGATTCCAATTCTGCCCAACCAAATAACTGGAATCAGAATGGCCCATTCCAATTCTGATTCCAGACCCTTATTCCCGTGAACCAAATTGGTCCTTAGAAAAGCTAAAAAAAAGTGTGTGAAGCTAACTTTAAAGCTTAAATTGAACTCTACCATAAGCTAGGTACTAAAGAGGGAAACCTAATAGAATTCTATTGGTCCTCAAAACTCCCCCTCAAGTTGGGAGTAAATGTCACACATTCACAATGTACATAGATCATGTCTAAGCTTGCTCTTTGTAACTCCCTTAGTAAAGACATCAGCCAACTGTGAATCGGACATATGGACGGCAAACTTCTCCAACTGTCACCCTCTCTCTTATAAAATGTCAATCAACTTCAATATGCTCTGTCCTGTCATATCCAACTGGGTTATTGGCAAAACTTTGCTGCTTGATTATCACAATATAACATCATAGGTTCCTCTGCATCAATCCAAATCTCACTCAACAGGGACCTAATCCAAAAAAGTTCTAAGACACCATGTGCCATAGATCTATACTCCATTTCTACACTTGACCTGGCCACAATTGATTGCCTTTTACTTTTACATGAGACCATATTTCCTCCCACAAAGGTCCAAACCCCATCTAGGCCCCTACCCAATCTGCATATGTATAGGCTTCCAGTTTCAAGTGCCCGTGATCAGGGAACAAAATTCCTCTGCCAAGATGTTTCTTTAAGTATGCAGGAATTCTATAATAGCCTCCAAGTGTTGAACTCGAGGAACATGCATATACTAGCTCACAACTAGTGGTGGCAATTGGGTGGGTTGGGTTGGGTTGGTTTGGGTTAAGCTTCAACCCAACCCATCTAACCCGCCAACCCATTAATGACCCAGTTATATAAAATTAAATGGGTTGGGTTCAACCCAAATCCGCTTTGACCCAATCCAATCCAACCCGCCCAAACCCATTAAATTTATATTTATGTACTTAAAACAAAAAACTTATCCCCACTTGACAAGTAAGTTGGCCATAGCTTGGTGGTAATAGTAATTGTTATTTACAGAAGTGGTGAAGGTTCAAATCACATTACATGCATGTTATTTTTAGACAAGCCATTTGACTATGTTCGGGTTTCGGGTTTGACTGAACCACTTAGGTTCAAACCAATCAGACCAACTTGAACTATCTAATTGGATTGTCTTCGTGCTAATCACATCAAGCGTGGTTGAACCGTTTAGATTCGAATCAATCCGGTCAGAGCAAACCGGCCCGGTTAAATCAATAGTGGATTGACTTAGTCTAGCCCATATCAGGTTTGTGCACGGGCTTGGGACCGAACTGACTAGCCCGAAGTGGGGCAAGGGAAGTAAAGCGGATAGGCTCGGATTCAAGTCAGGTTGTACATATACATGTCAGATTGGACGATTCAAACTGGGTCAAAGCAAAGTGGGGCAGATTTTGGGTCAGACCTGGTCCAGGTTGAACCGTCTCGTCATACCCCATTTCGGATTCGGGTCAACATAGACCTGCATGCCCTAGGTCGGGTTGGGATCGGACTGGGCTGATTGACCCAAACGAACCGAACCGAGGTGATCAGGTCTGTTCATATTTAGACCAAGTTGAGCTGGTCCGGACTCGGGTCAAGTTGATTTGGATTGTTATGTTGATTTGGGTGATGTGTGTTGATTCGAGACAAAACTACTCTTAGTCAATAATTAATAGAAAATTAATGCATTAATTATAAATTATTTCATTCAAATGAAGAAATTTAAAAAAAATGGCTAAGGAATTAATACTTATATCTTTAATGGTTAACCCAATGGTTACCCACAACCCAACCCATTTAAATTGACCCAATGGGTGATCAACCCATTTCCAACCCACCAAGTAAATTGGCAGGTTGGGTGGGTTAGATATTGGGTGGGCTGGGTGAAAAATTGCCACCCCTACTCACAAATACAGTAGCCAGCCCATCTCTCTCTGATAACCTCCCTACACCCTTAACCAACTCACCATTTAAAGCATTAATCCTATGGTTCTGACAATGATTTAAAAGGAGCGCCTAGAACACAAGCAAGGCGCATTTTAGGGTATGTGCCTCGCCTAGGTCCTAGGCGCAGCCCTTTCAAAAGGTGCACGCCTGGTGCGCCTAGGCGTGTGCATGATGCACCTAGCTCTTCAGCCCAGGTGTGTGCCTTTTGAAGATTTGACACTTTCTTGCTTTTTTTGAACATAGCAGCTAGGAAGCCCCTGGACCCCGTGCCACACCCCTCGAGGCAAGCCCAAAGAAGTCCATGTTAGGTGTTAAATTCTTAGTTCTCACACAAAAAACGATGAATTTTCAATTTTAATTGCTTTTTAAGAAAATATTTTATTAGGGCGAAGGAATGAACCATAATTGTCAAGGTGATGCCTAGGCAACAAGGCGCCCTTTGAGGCTCGCCTCACCTAATCGACAAACAATTTTGTACTATGTATTATAAATACTTTTTTATTCTTTATTTTTTGACATTATAATTATAAAATAGGCACTATTAAACTAAAATATTCATTGTGTGTTTATATACCAATTTCTTTTTATTATTTTCTTATTTGTTAGGGTTTAACCAATATAAACATTGTTAAATGTTGTATTGAACCCCCAAAGACTTTAAAACCTTAACCAATAAGTAAGGAAGAACTACATTTTCTTTTCTTCTTTTCTATACTTTAACATGAACTCTATACTTTTCTTATGAAAATTATGAATAATTATTAAGGAAATATGGTTATGGTACCTAGGGAATAGGGCTGGCAATTTTGACCCTAACCCATTTGACCCACCCACCTTGGAACCCACCCAATTTGTTGGTGGGTCAATATGGGTCGAGTAACCCATCAGGGTCATTGGAAAAGGGTTAGGGTGGGTTGGGTCGAGGGTACCCATTAGGGTCCGGATGGGTTGGGTCGTGCGGGTCAAGATGGGTTGGGTCAAAGTCGACCTAATCTATACTCGCCAAATCTCAAAAATTGGGAGTTATAGTGATTCGAACTCATGCCTCCTAGCATGACAACATCTCATTACACTTCCTAACCACTATACCATATTTCATTTTGAGAATAAAAGTGAAATAAAATAGATTTTATTAACTTTCGTGGTCACATGCAATTTTATACAAAAGCAATTTTACAAAAGTAATTTTATGAAAAGGACTATTACGAATGCAATTTTACATAAGTACTTTTACACGAAAGTACTTTTATGAAAGCACTTTTACACGAAAGTTCTTTTATGAAAGTACTTTTACAAAAACACTTTTATGAAA